CTGTTTGGGCTGATATTTGACAATGGCAATAGATAACTCATATTCTCTTCTATAGCTCTGCACTATTGACAAAACATTTACTACATCACTGAATAACTGAAGTATACACAAGTGGTAAAGAACCTGCCTGCCAATGCAGGAGATATAAGAGATGCAGGTTTGATCCCTGGGTCAGAAAGATCCCCTGGAGAAGGGCATGACAACACACTTCAGTATTCTTGCCTGGAGAATCCCATGGACTGAGGAGCCTGGTAGGCTACAGTCCATTGGGCCACAGAGTGAGGCACAACTAAAGCGACTTAGCCCTCACACAAGCACCACACTGGGAAAATGCAATCAAGTATCAGTATCTCTACAATGATCATTACTCTACAAGATGGCCTTTTCTTCAGATTCTTCAAACTATGTAATAAGAATAGTCAAGAAGACATTTTGCAGGAGAGCAATCAACATGAAATCTTAAAATCTGAGGAGCATGTGTTCATACAGTAATTTGGCTAGGCTTGTCCCTGGTTTCTGAAGGAGAGCTGGGTCCCTCAGACCTCACCTGAGTTTATGCTAATGAGATGCCTCATGGTGGACCCTTAGACAATGTAAAGATGGGGACTGGCCATGTGGGAAATATGAACCATGTAATTAGGGGTTTGGGACTTTGAGCCATGGGATATCATCCTGACCTCCCAACCTGGGGGCTCAGGGAGGGGAAGACAGGTAGAGAAGGACTAGAAATTGAATTCAGTCATGTGGCAAGTAAGTGAAATAATCATTCCCATGTAATAAAACCCCAATAAAAATTCTGGACACCCAAAGTTTGAGGGAGCCTCCTCATTGGTGATACACATTGATACATTGAAAGGGGGATGTGTCCTGAGGACACAGAAACCTTGCATTCAGTATCCCTCTAGACCTTTACTCTTTGTATCTCTTCATTTGGCTAGCCCCAACTATATCCTTTATAATGATATAGATGGCTAACTAACACATGAAAAGATGTTCAACATCACTCATTATCAGAGAAATTCAATTCAAAACCACAATGAGGTACCATCTCACGCCAGTCAGAATGGCTGCTATCAAAAAGTCTACAAACAATAAATGCTGGAGAGAGTGTAAAGAAAAGGGAACCCTCTTAAACTGTTGGTGGGAATGCAAACTAGTACAGCCGCTATGGAGAACAGTGTGGAGATTTCTTAAAAAACTGGAAATAGAACTGCCATATGACCCAGAAATCCCACTACTGGGCATACACACCGAGGAAAAAGACACATGTACCCCAATGTTCATCGCAGCACTGTTTATAATAGCCAGGACATGGAAGCAACCTAGATGTCCATCAGCAGGTGAATGGATAAGAAAGCTGTGGTACATACACACAATGGACTATTACTCAGCTATTAAAAAGAATGCATTTGAATCAGTTCTAATGAGGTGGATGAAACTGGAGCCTATTGTACAGAGCGAAGTAAGTCAGAAAGAAAAACACTAATACAGTATATTAGTGCACATATATGGAATTTAGAAAGATAGTAACAAATGACCCTATATGTGAGACAGCAAAAGAGACACAGATATTCTCTGTGGGAGAAGGTGAGGGTGGGATGATTTGAGAGAATAGCACTGAAACAAGTATATCACCATATATGAAATGATCACCTTCCAAATCTGATGCATGAGACAGGGCACTCAGAGCTGGCGCACTGGGATGACCCTGAGGGATGGGATGGGGAGGGAGGTGGGGGGGGTTCAGGATGGGGGACACACGTACACCCATGGCGGATTCATGTCAATGTATGGCAAAATACTACTACAATACTGTAAAGTAATTAGCCTCCAACTAAAATTAATTAATTTTCTAAAAACTATAATCATAAATATAGTACTTTCCTGAGTTCTGTTAGTCATTCTAGAGAATTATCAAACCTGAGGGGGGAGTGGGAATTTGTAGCTAATTGGCCAAAATTGCAGGTAGCCTGGGAATCCCAGAAATTGCAGCTGTGACTGTGGTGAAGGGACTGTTAAACAGGACTGTCCTCTTAACCTTTAAAATTCAACACAACTCCAGATAGTGCCAGAATTGCACTGTACATGGGACAATCAACTAAACACCAAAGACATAAAAAGAGCAGAGAAGACAAGGTTAAAGGACATTAGCAATGATACTGAGAACTGGAAATAATCACAGTAGCAGTCACTCACTGAGTCCAAAATGGATGAAAAAGAATAAAGGTGGTATCAAAGACAAGAGAGAAAATTAAGAGATGATAGTGGAATAGTTGATATAGACAAGAGAAGTGAAGTTAGGAATTCAGGATGGCATGCAACATGTACAGTTAATAGTTGAGGGAGTCATCCATTCATTTAACAATTATTAGTTACCTGCTACATGTAAGGCACCATGCCAAGTACTAAAGATACTGTGGAGAATAAGGAAAAAAAAGGTCCCTCACTCTCATCTAGAGAAAGATAAATATTATACAGTTACACAATTAATTGTGTAATTGTTATCTGTGATAGAGGCTACATAGGATAAGAATATAGTTGAACAGAGGCTTAATAAAACAGATATACAGATCAATAACAAGCTAAATCTATAGCCCAAGACCTATACACCTTCTCTATTAGTAAATATACTAAACACAATAAATGTTAGCAAGGAAGTATAGAGTAAGGTACATTTTCCCATGCACCTAGTCAATCAATCTATGACAAAGAATGCAAGACTACACAATGTTGGAAAGACAGTCACTTCAACAAATGGTGCTGGGGAAACTGGACAGCCACATGTAAAAGAACGTAATTAGATCATTTCTTGGCTCCACACACAAAAATAAGTGAAAAATGGATTAAAGACCTAAATGTAAGATCGGACATTATAAAACTCTTAGAGGAAAACATAGGTAGAACACTCTCTGACATAAATCACAGCAAAATCACTTTTAACCCATCTCTCAGAATAAAGGAAATAAAAGCAAAAATAAACAAATGGGACCTACTTAAACTCAAGAGCTTTTGCACAGCAATGAAACAATAAACAAAACAAAAAAACAACCCACAGACTGAGAGAGAATATTTGCCAATGATGTGACTGATAAGAGATTGGTCTCCAAAATTTACAAACAGCTTAAGACACTTAATAGCATCAAAACAAACAAGCCACTGAAAAAATGGGCAGAAGACCTGAATAGACATTTCTCTAAAGAGGACATACAGATGGCTCATAGGCACATGAAAAGATGTTCAAAACTGCTAGTTATTAGAGGAATGCAAATCAAAACTACAATGATATCACCTCACACTGGTCAGAATGGCTATCATCAAAAAACCTACCAACAACAAATGCTGGAGAGGAAGTGGAGAGAAGGGAACCCTCCTGCGATGTTGGTGGGATTGTAAATTGGTATAGGCCATTATGGAGAACAGTATGGAGGTTCCTTACAAAACTAAAAACAGAGCTACCAGGTGACCCTACATCCCACTCCTGGGCATTTTCCAAAGACAAACATGGCCTGAAAAGATACATGCACCCCAATGTCCATTGCAGCACTGTGTACAGTGGCCAAGACACGGAAACAAGGTCAATGTGCACTGACAGCGGAGTGGGTAAATAAATCAGAAAGCACAGATGTGTGTACACATACCTATCCACACGCAGAGAGCAAGAAGTGTAGGGAGTATTACTCAGCTATTAAAAAGCATGGAATAAGACCACTGCAGCAACATGGATGGACCTGGAGAGCGTCATACTGAGTGAGGTAAGTATGAAGAGAAGGGGAAATATCATATGACATCCCTTACATGTGGAATCTAGAAAGAAATGACACAAATAAACAAAATAAAACAGAAAGAGACTCACAGACTTAGAAAATGAACTCATGGTTGCTGGGGGCAAGGGATAGTTAAGGACTTTGGGAAGGTCATGTACACACTGCTATATTTAAAATGGATAACAACAAAAACCTACTGAATAGCACATGGAACTCTGCTCAATGTTGTGTGCCAGTCAGGATGGAAGGGCGTGTGGGGGAGGGCAGATATATGGATATGTATGGCTCAGTCCCTTCACTGTTCACCTGAAACTGTCACAGCATTGCTAACTAGCTATAACCCAGTACTAAATGTTTTTGGTGTTAAAAAAAAAAAAAAGAAAGGAAGAAAAGAATAAGGTACATTTTGAATAACAAAAAATTCAGATTAAATACTTTCCTAATCTTCCACTGAAAATAGTACATTCCCGGGAGGTACCTGGTATTTAAACATTTTGTGTGTATGTGATATGTGTGTGTGTGTGTGTGTGTGTGTGTGTGTGTGTGCACTCACTCATGCCTGACTCCATGACCCCCTGCGCTGTAGACCACCAGGCTTCTCTGTCCATGGGATTTTCCAGGCAAGAACACTGGCCATTTCCTTCTCCAGGGGGTCTCCCCGACCCAGGGACCAAACCCACACCTCCTGCCTCTCCTGCAGTGGCAGGTGAGCTGTTTACCACTGTCCACGTGGGTTGGTTCTCAAATTTAGATTCACCTTAACATACAGTTAAAACTCCCACCAACATTTTAAAGCCATATATTTCCTTTAAACTAACAGTATTTGTTGAATATTCAAAACAAGAAGGAAATGGCAACCCACTCCCGTATTCTTGCCCGGAGAATCCCAGGGATGGAGGAGCCTGGTGGGCTGCCGTCTATGGGGTCACACAGAGTCGGACACGACTGACATGACTTAGCAGCAGCAGCAGCAGCAAAAACAATAACAAAAAAGAAACCCCAAACCTTGAACAAGCAAAAATAACCATCAAATCACCAGAAATGACCCTAACTTCTGAGCAAAAAGACTTCAGACACACATTTCATCAAGCCACTGAGGTCAATTTCTACTAAATGCTATTACTGATCAGTTCCAAAATTTTTAGAAAAGCTGGATTAATTCGGAAGTTGTTTTTAATATAAAATTCCTAAAACTCTTTTCAAACAGTAGTCAATTGAATAACCAGAGCTGCTTACCTGTAGTCATCTAACCGTACCAGATACCGTACAATGTCATGATGAGCTTTCAGTACAAGCAGTTCAGTGTAGGGGTTCCGGGTTTGTTCTTCACCTATTGTCTGTAAAGGAGATTTCTTGTAATGGGGGAAACAGAAAAAAACATAAAATGATTTATGGTAAAAGATCATGTTGGACTAAAACTATATGGTATACATCTAAGAACACAAGATTTTAGAAACTGTAATATATGATATCCTAATACTATATATTATTTCCCCTAATATTAAGTAACTGCCAATTTAACATAAAACATTTCTCTTAGCACAAATCCACATCATAAATTTAAATCTTTTCAGGTCAAAATAAATTTTAAAAGAGGCATTTTGTTTTATGGAAATTATACCTCAATAAACCTGATCTAAAAAACTAAGAGGCCAAACCAACACAATATTTTAAAATGAACGTTTCTCAAAATGTGGTATAAATACAACTCTAAGTCAAAGGGGTAAAATATAACATAGACTAAAACAGTGCCTACCCCATTACAGGCACTCGACCCATGTACTGAATGAACAAAGGGAAAGTGAAATAATTCATAGTCAATGAATTCAATAAATTCAACTTTGGACAATATTGATAAATTGGTAAATTTACACAGTATGATGCTTAGTCCTAAGACCTACACACCTTCATTTCCATTTGAAAATATATGAGTGGCAGTCCATATGCCAGACACTCTATAAGGCACATATGGCTTGTAACTCACTGAATAATTCTGTAAGGTAGATCTTACCAACTCCATTTCTATAGTCAACTCCAGTACTATTTCATGATAAAACTTGTTTCCTTAACCTCTAAACTGTAGCTTCTCAAAGGTGACAATACTGACATTTTGGACCAGGTAATTCTTTTGTTGAGGACTTTCCTGTGCATTTCAAGATGCTGAACATCATTCCTGGCTTCTACACACTAAATATCAATAGATATCCAACCTCTCCCCAAACCCCTCAATAGTGACAAATAAAAATGTCTCTGGACATTGCCAAATGTCCTCTAAGGGGCAAAACCATCCCAGTAGGCAAACAGTGCTTAAACTAGAAGCCTAGATACTAAGTTCTTACATAATGAATGGAAAATCACTGGTTCGAATAATGTACAAATTCACAGCAGTTTTAAAACACAAGTACTTTTACACGAAATATACAATTTAACACTCATTAATGTTTTTAAAAAAATCCACTCAAAGCAGTAATTTTTTCATTTATCCCATCGCCCTTCTAGCAGTGGTTCTGATGAGAAAAAGCAAATGCAAGAAGTTTGAAAACTGTATACTACTTCCTCCAAATGAAAATTTGCTAAACAGGGCAGAATTAGTTAATCAAATTCTATGATTAAAAAATAATTGGGTTAATAAGGAGCTGTCATATATATCACACATGAACTAGTCAATTTTCCACAATTCTTCCACAATCTTTAGAATTTAAGTCTATCTGTAATAAACCTAATTTTAAATAAGAAATACTTTTTAAGACAATGATAATAAGCCTCAACTGCAAAGATATGAGGAAGTTAAAACGGAGAAGACTGCTTACAACGCAAGTTTTTCTTAACAATCAAAAATATTCCCTATAAAAAAAAAGAGAAAATTCAACATGAATCCTATTCTTGAATAGCATCCGAAATAAATTCCAGACCTCAATACTTTCTAGGTTCCAAAAGTACTTTATTCTCAACATTTAAGTCTATTCGGCTATTCAGGCCATGAAGAAAGTGTGACTATGGAACTCAAAATAGATAATTCGAATATAATTTTAACTTTTAAGCAAATTATTGATTTTTAAAATAATCACATCTTTTTTGGTTTCACAAAATTAATGAAATTAACTTCATATTCCCTGAGTACGCATCAGCTGATGTTGAGAAGTGACAAAATATCAAACAAACCAAAAGTGTAAATCTGCAGTCACACGACTTACTCTCTACTAAACTGAATGCTTTTTATTTAGAATGAGACTGCTTTAAGCAGGCAGAAGACTAGTTGGGTGTCCTTGATTAAGTCGTCGGACTCCATCAGTTTCCGTCTCCACATCTCCTAGAAACGGGGTCTACCTCTCAGGGAAAGGGCCCCCCACCCCCGCTGACCTCGCCCTCGGAACCCGCAGGCCCCGCCTCCGCCGGGTCTCCCACGTCCGGACGCGAGCCGGGCTCAGACAGCAGCCACAGTTCGGGCAGGCTAGGCCGCTGCGGCGGCAGGCAGGGTCCACCCGGGGATTTACCTCGGCCAGTCCCTGTGGTTCTCGGCCTCCCCCGATCAGCCATCGCAACATCCGGGCAGCGACGGCGTCCCGCGGGCCCCAGCCCAGGTCAACCCCAACTCCGCGCAAGCCCGGCCTCTTCCTGGTCCCCGGAGAGCAGCACAGCGCACCCTCTGATACCTGCCGGCTCAGGTCTGCCCGAAAGACCCGTGAGCGCGAAGTGGAGCCCACCCCAGAGGGAAGACTTTTGTCCCCAAAGAGCTACCGTACCCAGCTGCTGGAAGTTTGCTTTAGGGCAGGCGCCAGAAGAGCAGCAGCCCAAAGCTAGGCTGTCCGCGGAGGGTCAGAGGCACGCGCCACACCCAGTGAGCACGCGCAGGGCGTCGCCCGGTTTGCCCGCCCAGATTGGGTCGTTGGCGCGGCCCCTAGTGGACGTGCGTGGCGCTGCAGCTGGAGCCAGCAGAGCAAGTTCATGCCGAGAAGAAATACTACCCTCCTTTTCCAGATGGCTTGTGCATCTTTTACTTGGCGTGGGGATCAGGAAAACTTTCCCTCTCCCCGCGGTTTCCTAAAGAGCTGCCTGGAGAAGGTGTACTTCCCTAAGCTTTCATCTGGACTAATCCAGTGGCATATGCGTACACCAGAATCTAAGGAATACTCTTCTGATCTAGAACGCACTGGTCCAGATTCCTCCCTTGCTTTTTTTTAGAGCAGCTGGGGAAGAATCTTATGAGAGTATACTAGAGAAACCTCAGGAAAGCAGAAAGAGTGGGAAGTACTAAGCCTTAATCTCTCCACCTAGACAACAACTGTACTTGACAGAACCTGTTTGAACTATTCAATAGACTCTGAAGAATCTTCTCCAACACCACAGTTCAAAAGCACCCATTCTTTGCCTCTCAGCTTTCTTTATGGTCCAACTCTCACATGCATACATGACTGCTGGAAAAACCATAGCTTTGACTAGACGAACCTTTGTTGGAAAAGTGATATCTCTGTTTTTTAATATGCTGTCTAGGTTGGTCACAGCTGTGCTTCCAAGGAGCAAGCGTCTTTTAATTTCATGGCTGCAGACACCATCTGCAGTGATTCTAGAGCCCAAGAAAATAAAGTCTGTCACTATTTCCATTGTTTCCCCATCTATTTGCCGTGAAGTGATAGGACCGGATGCCATAATCTTAGTTTTTTGAATGTTGAGTTTCAAGCCAGCTTTTTCACTCTCCTCTTTCACCTTCATCAAAATGAAAGTGAAATAGTAACTATTCACTAGTGAAATAGTAACTATTCACAAGAGTTATTTTAGGACAAGAGGTCCCGGTAAGGAACATGGAACTAACAAGCCACCATCAACCAGAAGAGTTTGGGAAAGGTCAAAAGGAGACATGCCCTACCGACCTCCTAGAATCCTCCTCACTGGCATTCATCTTGGTTGAGCAATGAGTGTGCCACCAGGAAGGACCCTAGGTCCTAATGATTGGCCAGAGACATCCCAGAAACTAACCTATCACGAGAAAACCAGGGACCCCGAGCCACATGGCAGACCAGTCCTCCTCGGTTCCTTTATCCTCCTGCTCTCCACAAGGAGAGCCAATAAAGTCTCCAATAAAGTCTCTTGCTTTGTCAGCACATATGTCTCCTTGGACAATTCATTTCTGAGTGTCAGATAAGAGTCCACTCTTGGGCCCTAGAAGCAGTCCCCCTTTCAGCAATAACTATCTGATAAAGAGTGTAAATTCAGAATATAAACTTTCAAAACATAATAGAGGTCCAACTTGGGGTAAGATAGATTAAACACACAACTCTTTCTTTCCAAGTGAACACTACAAAACCTGGATAGTGCAGCTGTATGAGAATCAAAAAAGAATGGTGAAAAAAAGAATTCAAACCACCACCAACTCAGTATTCTTTTTCCTCCAATAACCCATGGACAGAGGGGCCTGGCAGGCTACAGTCCATGGGGTTGCAAAGAGTCAGGCACAACTTAGCAATTAAACAACAACAACCACTTTCCCAGCCTATATCCAGTGCAGCCTCAAATCTAGAAGTAAGCACAGTGACACAGAGAAAAATGCAGGAAAAGTCCTCTATTTATGGCTATAACAGTCAGAAGAGGAATCTTTAAAGTTAAGAGAAATTTGGAGCATCTGATTTCTAATCAGACATCTAAAAGAAAGATCACCAAAGAACCAGAAAACACTAAAAACATAGTGGGAAGACAAAACACCACAGGGAATTTTATATTAACTTCTGAGGTCACTCCTCTCACCTGAATATGCATGGTTCTAACTAGCATACCAAAGACACTGAGAACTTAGCTAACATAAAATTTCACTCAGACCCAAGGCTAATTACTGGGTGGTACAAAGAGGACAAACTCAAATACCACTGCTAACACTTTAAAACTGAACCAAGATTGGAACCACAGTCACAGAAGGTTGGAACTAGCCAGGTTAATCGCTTACTAAAATAAAAATACCAAAGTTGTCAAGAGGACTTAAAACAGATTCTTCGTGTAATACATACAAAGGTATGAAATACAATCTGAAATTACTTGGCATATGAAGAAATACAAAGACCTCAACTCACATGGGAAAATATAATTAAAGATGCCAATGACAAGATGATACAAATGTTGGAATTATCTGACATGACTTCAAAGTCATGTCAGATGTCTGCTCAAATGGCAACTGTGACACTCTTGAAACAAATGTTAAAATGGAAAGTAAGCCATCAGCAAGGGCTTCCCAGGTGGCCCAGTGGTAGAGACTCCGCCTGCCAACAATGCAAGAGAGGATCGATCCCTGGGTTGGGAAGATCCCCTGAAAAAGGAAATGGCAACCCACTCCAGTATTCTTGCCTGGAAAATCTCATGGACAAAGCCTGATAGGGTACACCCCATGGGGTCACAAAACTGTCAGACACCACTTAGCAACTAAACAGCAACAAAAGTATCAGTAAAGAAATACAATATATAAAATGGAAGAACCAAATGGAAATTTCAGAATTAAAAAAACAGTAATCAAAATTTAAAACTCATTGGATGAACTGAAAAGCAGAAGAGAGAAAAAAGTCAGTGTACTTGAATGCATAAAATCAATAAACCAAAATTTGGGCGTTTTAAAAGATCACTAAAATATCAATCCCAAAGAAGGGCAATGCCAAAGAATGTTCAAACTACCCCACAGCTGGATTCATTTCACATGCTAGCAAGGTAATGCTCAAAATCCTTCAAGCTAGGCTTCAACTGTACATGAACCGAGAAATTCTAAATGTACAAGCTGGATTTAGAAAAGGCAGAGGAACCAGAGATCAAGTTGTCAACATTTGTCTCATCATAGAAAAAGCAAAGGAATTCCAGAAAAACATCTACTTCTGCTTCATTGACTATGCCTTTGGCTGTGTGGATCATAACAAAATGTGGAAAACAAAGAGACAGGAATACCAGACTATCCTACCTATCTCCTAAGAAACCTGTATGTAGATCAAGAAGCAACAGTTAGAACCTTGCTTGGAACAACTGACTGGTTCAAAATTGAGAAGGGAGTACAAAGTTTATTTAACTTACGCAGAGTACATCATGTGAAATGCTGGGCTGGATGAAGCAGCAGAAGCTGGAATCAAGACTGCCAGGAGAAATATCAACAACCTCAGATATGCAGATGATACCACTCTAATGGCAGAAACCAAAGAACTGAAGAGCCTCTTTATGAGGGTGAAAGAGGAGAGTGAAAAAGCCTGCTTAAAAACTAAGATCATGGCATCTGGCCCCATCACTTCATTGGGAATAGAGGTGGAAGAAGTGGAAGCAGTAACAGATTTTCTCTTCTTGGGCTCCAAAATCACTGTGGATGGTGACTGCAGTCATGAAATTAGAAGACGACTGCTTCTTGGAAGGAAAGCTATGACAAACCTAGACAGCATATTAAAAAGCAAAGATATCACTTTGCTGACGAAAGGTCTGTAGAGTCAAAGCTATGATCTTTCTAGCAGTCATAATGGATGTGAGAGTTGAACCATAAAGGAGGCAGAATGCTGAAGAATTGACACCTTTGAACTGTGGTGCTGGAGAAGATTCTTGAGAGTCTCTTGAACAGCAAGGAAATCAAACCAGTCCATCCTAAAGGAAATCAACCCTGAATACTCACCGGAAGGACTGATGCTGAAGCTGAAGCTCCAATACTTTGGCCACCTGATGCAAACAGCCAACTCATTGGAAAAGACCCTGATGCTGGGAAAGATTGAAGGCAGAAGGAGAAGAGGGTGGCAGAAGATGAAATGGCTGGATGGCATCACCGACTCAATGGATATGAACTTGGGAAAACTCTGGAAGATGGTGAGGGACAGAGAGGCCTGGCGTGCTGCAGTCCATGGGGTTGCAAAGAGTCAGACACAACTTGGTGACTGAACAACAACAAATTGGATAGTCGGGAATAAAAAGGAAAAGTCCTAAAAACATACAACCTACCAAGACTGAATCATGAAGAAACAGAAAATATGAACAGTCCAATAAGTAAAGAGAATTAGTAATCAAAAAAACTTTCAAATAAAGAAAAGCCCAGAAGCAAATCCTACCAGGGTTAAAGAAGAATTGATAGTGGAACTTCTCTGGTGGTTTAGTGGTTAAGAATCTGCCTTCCAATGCAGGAGATCCAGGTTTGACCCTGGTCAGGGCACTAGGGTCCCTCGTGCTGCTGGTAACTACTGTGCCCATGCACCTCAACTAGAGCACCCATGCACTCTTCAATCTGTCTGAAAAAAACCAGAGAGAAGCGTTAAGACCCTGTGTGCTACAACTAAAATCCAACATGGTCAAAAGAAAGAAAGAAAAAAGGAAAGAATTGATAGCCATCCTTTTCGAACTCTTCCAAAAAACTCAAGACAAGAGAAAAACTCCCTAACTCATTTTATGAGGCCAGGATTACCCTGACACCAAAGCCAGATACAGCCATTGCAAGAAAACTTCAGTCCTGCATCCCTGAGCACCACAGATGTAAAAGTTCTCATCAAAATATTAACAAAACAAATTCAACAGCACAATAAAAGAAACATACACCATGATCAAGTGGGAATTT